AATCATTGTCTGTGCTGACTGAAATTCCCCAAAATTGAAACTTAGGAAAAATCATGAATTGTTTTGTTAACATAGTTATTTTTTAGTTTATAGTTATTTAACATAGCATATATTATTTAAAAGCAAGTTACATTATTTGCTTTGTGACTTCTGTAACATGGATTACTGACTATAAAACAGGGGGAAAACATTTTTTATATATATTGTCAATAATACAGTACTTACAGTTATTTAAATCCCAATGTATCTTTTTCAAACAGTTTAAAGATGGTTTCTACCAAAACATTAGCTAACCTTTTACATTCCTGATGCTGTGGTTTGGTTTTAAAGTTGAGTTCTGTCTCCTCTGTCTTGCTGTGGATTGCAAACACTCCCCCAATCACAATATCTCCGTCTTTAAAGAAGTCTGGAAAAACACCTGTACCTTGAAGTCTACAAATAGTCTGTTTCTCTGATGTCAAAACGCCAAAAACCATCATCACTACCGCTGCTCTTAGTGGCATCCTAGACGTCACGAGGACAGCTGCTGATTAGTGATAGATTACCAGAACACACTGCTTTTATATTGCTCAGCAGCTCTCAGGGGTATTGAGAAACTGAGTGAGGTTCAGACTCTGTTAAGCAGAATTCTCATAGGTGTATTTTTGTAATTTGTTCAAACATATGTAAAATGTTAAAATGGCAGATTGATTTTCAGGTATGTTGTCTTATGTAAAGGACTCACATTAGACCTACTAAGGACTTTAAAGATTATGTAGGTGGGTGGTTAAGTTATGTGAAGCAGCACTTTTGGATGGAGAGAGTTTGTTACCACACTAAACTTTGACTGTTATTTACCGGTTTCTCTAATCCATTTACCCATTGCTGCTTTTACTGTTACTACACATGCATTATATACAGTACGTCCTAAAGGCATTGTGTTTCTGTGCCACTCCTCAGTAATAGTTTCATGAATTCATATTCAGAGATATACTCTGATATCCTTCAAGAACTGGTAAGAATAGAGATGAATCAAGTCCCCCATTCTCTTTCAATATGCTGTATTAATGTATATCCATACAGACAGATGTCAGCAAGAACAAATTGCCAACAAAAGTAGCTCATATTTACTTCATTAGAAGGTGAAGTAATATAAAGTTGCTTTTAGTTAAGAATGTCCAGCATTTCACCTCACTGAGAGGTGAAACTCTACACATTGTTGGCGAACTCTTAATGGATGAATGCCATCCACCTGTGTGCACTTGAGGTTGTACTGGCCAAGCAAGGCCATTCACATTCATAAACAGTAATGTCATGATGTAAGCTATATTTCTTGTTAAACGTAATTGTCTAAACATTGAATGAAGGTGTAGTGAGATAATAATGGAAATGCTGTGAATTAACAGAAAGTAATTGGAGAGAATTTAAAACCATATCGTTGTTTAAGAGTAACATAATTCAACCACATCGTATGTCACACATTTGACTTTCGAAATTGGTTTGAATGCACAAACCAAAATGGGCTATAATTTTATTTGTTTATATTAGATATATTCAAAATGTTTAGTGATGTAATGAGTTTAATTAACTTTCACCATTCCAAAAACGAAGACCACAGAACAAACCAGAACAAACAAAGCAGCAAATTTAACCTACACTGTGCAGACACCTGCATCTACAACCTGCTGTACCAAAACATTCTTAGGAGCCAGGTATATACACACTGTGCCTCAGTAACAAACTTTTACAATTCATATGTTTTAGGAGTCTTGATGTTGTTACTGAGGACTTTATACATTTCTCAACCAAATCTAAAATACAGACAATTATTGCATGATTATTTAATTCACAGTTGCAGATAAAGGCATGAGGATTTTTTACATTC